TTTTTTACTAATTTTCTACATTTACGGATGTTCCGCAGAGGAATGCTTTGTTTTCCCTTATATAGAGATTTTCTTCAAAATCTCGTCAAGTTTTTTTGATCGTGACAGTGTTGTGATCATCGTAATTACTAGCTCATGCAATGTTATTAAAGTTACTTGTACCGAGGAAATCTTAATAATGTATTCACTCTACCGATTACACACGGTTGTTACAACCGGAGGAAACTAAAGATTTTGAATTGGCTCACTATTTGACTAGCCTATTGGTCCCAAGAAAATCGATTAACATACCCCATTGTAGTCGAAATTCTAGTACTACACTATGTTTGTTTTGATTCGCTATGAAAGTTTGACAGATAAAATGAGGGGTTCATAGATTTTCCTATGTTTCGAGGGGTGCATCGATTAGCTTGGGACCGAAGATAGTAGCAGAGCTGAACCAAAAAGTTGAGCACGTTTCTTCGGGACTTACTAGTCTTAGAATTACCTCTATGGTTGCTAGCTTAAATTCATCTAAATCAGTTAGAAATGTTGATGTCAAAACCACATAAGAATTATTCTCATGAGTGCTTGATCATTGAAAAATGACACGAGAGCTAATGATAGGTAGTTTCGTCTCGTGATTGTGAGAGGACCTGTTTTTTCATCGTCAAATGACGGTCGTGATATTTACCAGCTCTGATTGTAAGCCCTCCTACTGGGAGCTATGCCCCGCCCCCATCAGCAAAAAAATCCTGAAAATTAGAGGCCGTTCCTGCCGTAGAGAAATCACTTCCTTTCCACCACAAACGCCCCGTTTTCTTATGCAACATAATAAATGTACGTTCACAAAACGCACGTAATTTTAATAAAAAGCAATGTTTAGTAAATATTGTAAATATTTTCAACTCAATCTGTAGATAAAAGCTGTACCGAGAATTAATTGCAGGGATTTCAAGCTAAAATTTTGCAGCAAAATCAAAAAAGCAAGTACAAGAACAGACCTACTGAGTTTCACTATTGCACAATTTCTCAATAATCTCTCAGGAAACATACATAATTGACATAGTATTTGAGGGCGAAAGGAGGGGTGGGTTCATATGTTGTGACCAGCCATGTTTTGGGTGTTCGCTCAATACTCCAATACAATTCAATAATACATAAAGATTATGTGACTATGTTAACTATGTATGAATGAAGACACGTGGTAGTCAAATCGCATAGGAATATTGATCGAAAACCCAAAACATGAAAACTTCAAAAAAAAACTCAAAATAAAAAAAAACACATCACTGATTTTTTTGGCCAAATATAAAAATATATTGGGCCCTACAAACCGTGAAAACCATAGAAACAAATACAATCAATGTTTTTTAATAAAGAATAAAAATTAAATATCATTATAAATAACAAGTAATTTTTGAAATAAAAAATCTATTTTTTGACCACCCTAACATGGAGATGGTAACCCTAATGACAAAATAAAAAATCTTGGTATGAAATGTTGCGATAAAGAACAAAACTACCAATTTTTACGAAATTCTGACAACCACTATATCGTTTTACTATGGAATGGCTGAAATAGAGCAAAATCCTCGTACCAGCTCACCACCAAAGATATCTAATTAACAAGATATCCCACTAATCAATTCCTCATACAAGGCATATAGTTACCACCCTTATGTGATCGCAGTGCTGTCTGTTGAGTGCACATTGAAACTGTTGGGAGTTCCCCGCCAACTTTACCACCAGGGCTCAATAACTGACAGGTGTCATCATGACGCGGACGTTGATGATCAGCCGAGGGAAGAGGACGATATCATCCTCGAAGTCATCATCATTATATTGCGATAGCAAGATTTTTACTTGTTTGTGATTGCTTCGATTTTCAATCATTACCACTTTATGCGCAACAGAAACACTTGAGAAGACAATCACACATCCAAGCGCGCATCATGATGTGCTTGTAATATGTTTTGCTTTCGAGTGAAAGAGTTTTCAATATACCACCGGTATCAGTAAGATGCAAATCTCTAATAGTAATTGATGATTTGCGAAGCTGTTGTTCAAAATTATCTTAATAAGCATAGAAGTAAACATGGGAAAACCCCTTTCTCTAAAGAATTATTCGAACACCCCAGCCACTGTAAATGCAACGTATCGAAATCATTGCTAAACGTAATAAAATATGCCGTCTTCTTTGGCCAACGCAGCACGCATTTCATTTACAAATTACGTTGCAAGAATCATTACTTTCCTATTTTATAACGTAGGAAGTATATGACAACACCGGTGAAAACAAACGCAAACGGGAGTAGCCGAAGCTGAATGATGACGATGAGTGATGACACCGCTTCGTGTTTTGATTTGCGCTGTACCGTCCGCTCAGATGTGCGGGTTCGTACATGTATAGATGTTGGTGTGCGTGTTTTCTTCCAACGCAGCAGTTCAATGTTCTCTCGCCAAAAACCGTTTGGCACTGTTATCTGTCTCTATAAATTCCAAAGAGTGAAGGGGCTCTATCACCACCCAAGTAACAGTTTAAGTTTTATTAAGTAATACAAAGCTACTATAAAACAACAGCCATAAAACCCTGGTCAAAGCTACTTTGCCATTGATGCAAAGTACCAAAACCTCCTTAAGACGAGTATCTGTCTAGTTGGCCCATCCTGGAGAAGGTTCTGCAGGGTATATTTTCGAAGCCCTTAAAATTGATTTACTGCAAAAAGGTTGTATGACGAACGCATTGAGAACCATTTGAAACCCGTATTTAAGCTACGATAAAAGCTATTTGGCAACAATAAAAACCTTTTCCAAGTCACTTGCAGAATCCACTAGATCCATCACTTGCAGAATCCACTCATCAATCAAGATAGAAAAGGATTCATAAATTCCATCCGATCTTAACAAAATAATTTAAATATAAACTGATCATATACAAATCCTATTCTATTTCCAAAATAATCCAAATTGTTCTCATAAAGTGGCCTAGTTATAGGTGCCATTTTAAATCTTATGTGAAATGTAATTTAAAACGTCGAAAAAAATAAGTCCGCGCTCGGAAGACGTCGATTTAACTTTTTATTTTTAATTGAGAAAAAAATATTATTCTTCAGATTGATCATTAAGCTCTGACGAGATATTTTTTTTTATGATTATCGTATTTCAAATATCTGCTCATTGCTAAATAGACCAAAATAAAGTTATACCTATGGAAATACACATTGAAAACGAAGATTGTAAAAATCAAACAAAATAATTGTAACATGGCGGCGAGGGGGGCGACGATGCAGGAAAAACTGTGTTTTGCTGTGGTTAGCTGCACGCACGCTGAGTAGATATGAAGAAGATTGATGACGAATTTGAAGATTTCCTGCAAAAAGATGATGCGCGATGCAAATGGATGCGAGAAATCAAAGAAGATTTTTCGAAGTTTGATTCGCTAGTGTGTGATTTTTTGAGCATCTAGAACTGAGATTTAGATTTGTCGCCCCCTCGCATGGCGGTGGCTTAAAAGTTGGTTTTCATGGACCGTTTGTGAAAAAGTTGTTTTGCTGTAATGGATTTGAAGCAGTTACTAAGTTACTGTTTTGCAACATTTCGCATATATAATGGAACAGCTGGAAGCTCAATCGTTCCCGTAAAAGATCCCCTTCTTCCGGATGGTTCCCGAAGTGCACCATCAAACCATGCAGTTTAAATTAAGAACGCTGGAATGAAATTTTGAACCTTTCGCTGAATATGCTTTCACTGCTATGAATCGGAAAACAGCCAATCTCCGCTTACTGACAGTTTCAGGGGTTTGCTGCAGGTACAAATGCAAGTTATTTCGATCGGCCGATCTGGAGAAGGCTGGTCTGTTTTTAGACTCTTTCATATAGGAGACGGTCAACACCGGTCAGATGCTCAGTCGTTGCTGAAATTCATTTCCCTTCGATCGTTAACATAGCTTTAATGTTTCATCCTACTTCGTATACCCTTCGAGATTTCCTTGTCATAAATTTTGCTTTTATTCACTTTGAGGATCCAACTTTTAAGTTCAATTTGTAAACAGAGTAATTGGGGATTTTGTGATACGCTTTAACAAGTCTAAACAACAACAATATATGCTTTTGCTCTCATTTAAAACCGAATGGTTTTATGGTTGCTTTTATAATGATAGAACAACTTTATAGAGTATTTTAGCAAAACATTAATAAACTATTGCTAATGCAGATTGATTTACAGAACAGTTTTATGGAGGGATTGAGAGCTGCTTTATTTTTTTTTAAACAACTCTGTTTTTGACATTCTCAACGGACTATAAAAGGTTTTCAAAACAGCAATAAGTTGAATTACTAACCAGCAATGTTCTACACTTTGAAATGCTGCATTTAAACCAAATGGATTGTTCATTGCCGTTATAAAACCATCATAAATCAGAGTGGATGCCAAGTAGCTGCCGAATTATTACTTGGGCATTCTACTGGTGACTGAAATCCCGGGCTAGAACTCAACAACCTGGACAATAAATGGTGTATGTTGGCTTGCGTGTACACTGATAGAGGGGAGTGTAAACAGGAGGGTAGTCACTTGGCAACCGTTCAATCTGGGATATTTTTGAGACGGAAACCGAAACCCGCATACATAGGTGACCATCTTGCAACACCCCAGCCAGCGAGACCATGTACTATTGTCATCAATATCGTTGGCTTTGGCATCGAGTTTCGCATCTTTTCCCAGCCTAATACTAAAATACCAGATCGCTGCACCAAGTTGGCAGCACCAGCATAAGCAAAGACGATGAGGACGGGAGTCGCTCGTGGATATCCCATGTAGCCGCCACTGCCGCCCCCGGTCTCGAATTAGTTCGCTCGTGATGGGAAAGTAGAGGAACAACAGTGTGGCATCCAGTTCCCCCCGGCAAAAGGATGACCCACACCAGCTTAACCAAAGTCGATGAGTTTGAGCAAAGCAGATGAGCATTCGCAATGCGCTACTGCTGCTGCTGCTCTGTAGGTACTTTCTTTCCATGATCGCGTCGTTCGCGATTGTCATCGTCACCCGTTCACGGTTCAGCACGTTCAGAATCAACCGTGGCGGTTTAGTACTGGTTAACCTTGCGCCGAGATTAGACCGATTGTGTTTAGGGCACCACCGGAAGAAGAAGACGACGACGAGCCCTAGCGTCCTGTTTGGCGCCCTGGCCCAACGAGAACCTTTGCGATCAGCTGCTATTCCGCCCACTCTGCTGCAACGGTTACAGCGAATTAGTATTCCCACAAGGTGCAGCCAGCAATACCAATCATGCACTATTAGCTTAGGCTCAATCGAACGTCCGCGCAAGTGAAAGTGTTGTGTGATAAAATTGTAATTGACAAGCTTTAATTTCTACCCAACGCTTAAACAGTCCACACCTGTGAACGCTTCTAGTGAGGTGAAGCAATTGTGATTACCGGAGAAGTGATATATCGGAAGAATATGAAGTTGCGATACTTGAACCTACTTGTTCAGTTCCTGATGGTGTGCGTCCTAATCGGGCGGATAAATTGCCATGTAAGTTTCAAATTGTTGACCGAGTCTTTCATTTGAGGAGGATATCCATTTCAGCTGAGTTCAACAAACCTGAAAACCAGTTCGGCTTTCGCTGTCGAAAAAGAAATTTAATCCTTTTTCGGTTGAAATGCCGCCTGCTCGCGATTCAAGATAATGTTAATGGATGTGATTTTTTCTCGATTTTCTCCAAAAATAAAAACTGGACAGTCGATGCCAAATCCATCAATGGTCGTCATGGTGGAAGTGTGTTATTGAGGACAGCACTGAAACTTTGTAAATACATCATACGGAAAACTTACGGGTAAGACTAGCAGCTCAGATCGACAGGTGTTGTGATAAGCTTGTACCTGAAACATGTATTCACAAGTGAGAAAATCGAACAACAATACTTACAAGAGACTTCATGATGCAAATTTTTCGTTCTCTGAAGTTATAGTGAGAAGATTTTGTTTAATGATAGTCACTTTAACACGTGTTTGATCCTTACTGACTTGTCCTACAAATAGCCACCGTAGAAGCGCTCAATGAACACAAAGTTGAGGATATGTGATCCACTTGAAAAGATGAAGCAATGGTCTGTTCGGAGATGAAATTCAATCTCGTGAATTTTGTGAAAGACATTGATGCTAACTTCTACGCCAGGTTCATCCCCAAATGAGAAGTAACATAGAAATTTCTTTCGATGGGGTTTCGCCACATGTGATGAGGAGCAATTATTGCTACGTTGATAGTTCTGATACAGTGATGTCTAATTTCTACTCAACAAGATCATCTCGATAGCTTCGGGACAAGAGGGGCACGCAATACACAGACAGTAAATCTGAGTAGACACGCAGTAAAAAAGGATTTTTTAAAGATTAAAGGAGCATTTAAACTTTTCAATATTACGTTTCCATAGCTGGCAAAACAAAACTTCTTGAGGAAATAAATGTATTTTGGAGTAGTGTAGTAAGTCATTACTTTGCCATACTCAAAATTGCTATACATTCAATAAATGGCTCATTGGTGTGTTTGTTCACCCCCACTCACCCTCTCTCACAAATTGCCACCTTATATCCAGGTTTTTTTTTCCTTGGATTTATTTTCCGTCGATCTTGTTTTCCGTGCTGAGCACCAATGCTACCGACGTGCCAGGAAGGCAGCTCCCACACCTGGACCCTACCTATCGACCCATCAACTCATGAACCGGGGACCAACGGCTTTACTTCCCATCCGAAGGAAGGCGTGATCAGAGATGTTATGCCTCAGAACATCCCGGCGGCGCCGACTGGGATTGAACCCAGGCCTGCTGGGGTGAGAGGCAATCACGCTTACCACTACACCACCGGCGCCGCTTATATCCAGGTTATAAACGAAAACTTGTTCAAAACTTACCCATTATTTTTATACATTTGCATGATGATTATAAAGAGTGGAACTAGTCTTAAAATAGTTATTCAATACGTGTCAAAACGGTCAAGTCAAAAGTGACATTTTCAATTTGAATTGCATACCAACAACACTATCGGATAGGGGAGCTTTTCCCTACCGGAGTGTATACTGGTCTTGCATAGATGAGCTTTGATTCACGAGAAAGGCCGCAAGAAGATTTGTTTCCAGAAACCTTTCAGTACTCGTGCCGTTGTATTTACAAAGTGCATAACGAAAAAAAAAACCTACTGACTATGGACCTCACTCAACTTGAAACTCAACATGTTTCATGATATGTAATACCCATGCCTATAGACCAATACTTATTTTGGAGAATATCAGGTTTCACGAAGTGCCCTCAAGGTGAAAATAACATACTGTTGTATTTTGTACAACGCGCGAGTGCAAGCAGAGTTATTCAGATGGACAAGACCCACTGGCGCAGCAAAGGTGGGGTTAGGGTTTAGATGAAGTAAAAAAATCTCAGCAAAATAATAATTGAAAAATGATTTCCACGTGGAGGCAAACTGTCATCTTTGATGGAAACATTTAATTTATTGTTAAAACCCGTTCAAGAAAGAGAGGTAAAGCGTGGGTTGTGCTTAGTAGGACGGAAATTAGACCAAAAACCCTATTCAAACTTATATATATATATATATATATTTCAGAAGGTATGCGAAAAAACCCGCAATTCAGTTAAAAAATCATAAGCAAAAATCAATTCCTAACCGATTTGAAGTTGTTTCATAAACATGGATAAAAAATACGAAATAAGAGCAATTTAAAATTTACAGAGTTAATACTTTGGGGATGCAAAGGATAAAATCGAGGATCACACAATTATCCACTACCACAAAACTATCAGCCCAAAAATTCTGGGGTTGCGATTTAGGGCGATTACGTAGGTATGATTTTTGAAAGATGTCCAAATTTATTGGTTTTTGTTCAATATATTTTAAATGAAGTGTCTGGTATGTTGCCAATTTTGTTAGTTTCCCGTGTTTGTCGGCCTAAAATTTGAGAAGGGTCTGACAAAATCCGGATGGCACTGTATTTTCTTTAATATTATAATCTTCCTTAGTGGAAAATATCACCAATATGACAGTTCAGTAAACCTCCAAACGATTAATTCTTGACTTTTAAGAAAATTCTGAATGCATTCACCTATAATGAGATCTGACCCTTCTTAGGGAACATCTATAAATAATGTAGCATTGTGGGCGCAATCGGCCATGTATAAAATATAAATCAAAATACGTTACGAAGGAGAAGGGGGCGTCTTAAATTAGTCAAAAATATGTGCTACGTCATTTATGGATGGTTCCTAGCTAAATTCAATTTTGAGCCACTTTCCAGGTGGGATCCGGAAAATATCCAAGTACTGGTCATTGTGTTCCTGGGTCTTTATGTGACTAGAAATGAGCTTAATTTATCGTTCTCATTAAATTTTACGTGTTACATAAAACGGAAATACGTGATTTTTTTTCAGTGTTTATTTTTTTTTCTGAAAAGACAATCAAGTTTCCTACAATTTTGTATACGTCATACGTCATGCCATACGCCATTTCGATTTAATGAGCCGTTTTCATGCTATGATTTACTGAAAAATAACGAAAAGGCCATTTTGAGAAATTAGGCGAGAGTCAAAATGGCCATTATTTATCTGTGATAAATTTTCAAAAGTCTTTCAAGGATGATTAAGAACTATAAAAAAATCCAAAGTAAATTTTAAGAGATGAATGGAATCGAATTTTGAGGGTTCAATCTCTAAAGAATTCTGAGAAGAGTTTCAAAGTTATTCTGGGATTGATTTTTGTTTTGAGAATTCTGAAGAAATACTTTGGGAATTCTAAGGAGAATACGAATTGAAATTCCATTTGAATGCAGGGAAGAAATCCAAGATTATTCTAAGCAGAAATTTATAAAAAAAATTGCATGGAAATTGTAAGGAGAATTCAAATAAATTTAAAAAAGATTTATGGAAGGAGTCCTTCAGCGAGTTCCTAGAAGAATCAATAAAAAATCGAAAATAATCTACTTAAACTAATCATGTGTTATTACTTCATGCGTGAATTTAACGATTTAAATAGTCGGAGATGCTTAACGTCAAATATCACGCTTTAAGTGCAGATTTTATACGATAGATGAGGATATTAAATTACAGAGTTGATATCTCCGTTATAGTACGGCAGTGTGAAAATTGTATATACAAAGTAGAAAGCGAGCAAGGGTAATTTTGAGGAAGGTACGAATCGGGTAGTAGTTTACGTCAGATGGCGACTTGAGTGTGAAACAATCGATAGAACTGTTTCCGCACATCGGAGGTACATGAGCAAATTGGCGATCATCCCTTTTGCCAGTGGTGGCAGGGGGAAGTACCCCTCACCATCCCTCATTAACGGATGAGCTTGGCAAAGGAGATACTCTACTCGATTCGTACCTTCCTCAAAATTGTCCTTTGGTCGCTTTCTACTTTCTATACACAAATTTCACACTACCTTACTATAACGGAACTATCAACTCTTTACTTTCATCATGTTACGCATTTCCAACTACGAAAATAATCTATTTCCAAGAATTTTGTTGATTGTTCTACAAATAATTTCAAGAATGCAATATTATTTTTGTAAAATCTTATTTGCTCTAAGTTTAAGAGAAGAGGAATTATTCTAAAAAAGGTTCTTGAGATCATTCTGAAGAAATTCTGTTAAAAGTTCTTAGCGAATTATCAAAGTTATCTACCTAGATATATCATAATTTTAAACATTTCGAACGCAGAATCAAATTCAAGCTCATAAAAAATGGGAATTACTATTTGTTAGGCATCATGTATAACGTAAGCAACAGTACATTATTCAAATACCTTCAAAGGCACTTCACAAGAGATTCCGTTGCGAGATTCTATTAAATTAGAGGAATTTATGAAATTTGATTTTTATGACATAAACAGTTAATTTCAATATCAAACCGTATTTGAATTTCTAAGTTACCATATAAATGGTTACTTATTACGTATTGACAAGTTACTATTTGGTCACTACACTTGGTTAAAGAAGTCACACCTGAGGATTTTATCGGGGGTTTGATTACGAGAAGGAGAGTCCCCAATTGCTCTTCCTGATTATCGTTTTTTGAATCGGATTGCTCAAAATGATTTTTGAGACAATTAGCTTTTTAACTTTAGGTTCACCGCAGTAAACCCGTCGTAATTGCTGACAATATCTATCGAAATTACCTGTGCGTTTACAGTTCCAGCATTGATCCAAGTTCTCCTCGTTGTCCTCAGAATTTGGTCCAGGTTTTGGCGTCATGATGGGTGCCAAATTTGACTTATGTTCCTTTTTCGTGTACCGATTTCTGCTTCCAGATTTGTTGCCGCTGCTGATCCCATTAACTTCTTCGGAGTCGGAGTCCTCCAGATTGAGTTCTTCAAACTCCTCTAGATTCACCTGATGAACCGTCTTGGCATGCGCCCTGTTTCCACTGCTGGCATAAAAATTCGGTTCTAGCGCATCAAATTGATACATAGCAATATTCTGCTAACTCGTTAATAGACGCGACCGGTACAAGCGCCAAGCGTCTTCGGTACG